GTTCCTCAAGAGTGATGATCTTCAGATCGGGATGATCGGCCCTAAAGGCCTCGAGCTCACCACCCTTGGCGAAGATCGTTCGGTCGTTGACGATGACGGTTTTGACGGAGGACTTCTTGATAGGATCTGAAGCTGTCTTGAGGAGTTGCGAATCGACATACATGGCGCTACATTCGGTTTGAACGAGAGAGTGCTCGACACCACTGGGACCAAGTGTATCGTAGGCGGTGACAATCGAGATGGACTGTGAGGCAGCTGCGTGGGAAGTGGAGATCCAACCGATGCTTCACGCCGTGGAGTCAGAAACCAGTGCTTGGATACAGGGCTAGTCAATGCTGTACATACCTGGTGGTACCGAAAATGTGAAGCTTGTCGTCACTGGTCAAGCCCAGCTTCCGTAGACCGGAGCCGATCTGCAGAACGCGCTCGAGATACTGTTGGTAGGTCAAGTAATCGAAGCCAGTCAACTCGAAGTAGGACCACTCCTTCTCAACTTCCTGGATCTCGCCATCGACGTTCTTCTTGACCTTCTTCTTCTCAGTGTGCATGTTGATGAGCTTACGGGCACCGACAGCATGATGGTTGGGGTAGAGTCGAGCGCTGCGCTCAACGACCTGGAAGACGGTCCTGGCATCGGGAGCAGGATAGGTGACGAGGCCGTCCTTGGCCTTGGGGTGACGTCGAGGGATGGTTTCGCCGGGGACCTTCTCGTAGCCAGGAGCCTCGATGGTGAAAGGAGGCTTGTGCACCTGGTGCAGCGGCATAATGCCCGTTGTCCAGTCAGTCATCTTGAATGCGCGGTAGCTACGGAGCAGACGAGGAAGCTGATGAAGGTTGAGGTGTAGGTGATGGCTTAGGTGATGGTCAAGGTGAAGGAGGACAACTTCACAGAAGGGCCTGTGATGACGACAGTGGGGGTTGAGAGTGAGGGTATCGTTGAGAGTGAGGAGAAAAAGGGAAAGAAGGATGAAGGGGGAGACTGGTGGAATTAATGTGAGGAAGGGACGGGAAGCGAAGCCACGGACGGAGACGACGTAGGAGAGAGCAGCGCGGGCGTGGAGAAGGAGATACTGCATCTGGTTGGCACACACTAACTTTTGGCTGCCTTAATATTAACCTAAGCAATTGGAGCAACAGAGCACAGCACAACACAACGGGAGAGCTAGTTAGAGTGAGCAAGCAATGGAACCTCCAAGAGGCGCTTGCTGCAGGAGAGACACGGCACAGCAGGGAGGTACACTGAATGGTACAGTACCATCCAAAGCCCGGGCCAGGTCGAGGTGGAGATCTTACAGGGTTTCAGCAGCTCAAAGTACCTCCAAGTATCCCAAGCTCGGTTGATTCAATGTCCATCTGACGCGCCCGGTATATCTTAGCATTTATGTACTCAAGCACAGGCTCACTCTCTTCTAAGGTATCCTTTACCTTAGCTTATCATACCAAGCTTCCCTTTATGTCCCGCAGACTGCAAACAATAGGAGCTAATGCTGGAATACGACAAAGATTTTTTGCAGCGGGACTGGGTAGACTGGATACCTCCCATACCTTACCCTTGAGGTAAAGTCTCTCCGGACAGGGAATCTTAAACAGGACCGAGGAGGGACCTGAAGATTACCTTGTTCAAAATGGAGATCAAAGGCTGAGCCCTTGACAGACATCAATGATGAAAGTAAGTGGTGGTTCGCGTAAATATAATAGGCCTTGGCGGGATCTGATTCCTACGCCACTGAGAAAAAGACTTTCAAAGTCTCTTGGGATTTAAAAGGATGGTGCCACTGATAGAGGGACAAGTAGCACATAATCTCTCCATATAGACTTTCCACATTGAATCCAGTTCACATGAGAAAAGGTTGTGGATACCTGATGCTGTCAAGATTTAGACGTGCCGAGATATTCGTAAAAGAGCAATTTCGGAAAATATAGGTAGGTAAGCAAGTACAAAAAGATACAGATGGGGTCAAGAGCAGTATACCCCTTCAGGCTTAGCATGAATAGCTTCAGGGAAGCTCCAAGGCGCTAGGTCTGCTGGGGAAACAGAGGGCGGGACGTCTTGATTGCGTCACAAATGGAGCCTTAGAAATTGTGCTGGTAGCCAGGTTTGCGACACGAAACGGCCATAGATAGAGAAGAAATTCAAGACAGCCTAGACAGCGCAGTGAATGAACGAATGGCAAAAAATGGTCGTCATCACCATCAGAGCTCTCGGCTTCTTCGGCGCAACCATTGGCCCAGCGTCATCAATGCTACAGGTGGCAGATCCTGAAGCCAGCGCTCAGTGCTCCCCAGATCCTTGTTTGAATCACCGGATCTCGAAAGTCTGTCGCTGGCTTGGCCGTTACGTTGAGGCTGCCCCATTCTCAGTCTAACTACCGACCATCCCTCACTCAACCATCTCTAGCTAGGTAACTGCCAGTAACTAACTGATCCTCTCGCCCGTACCATCCGGCCAACACTCATTGTCAGCAGCTGTAAGCACTTTGTTATTGTTGTACCGACCACCGACGTACAAAGTATAATATCATCACACCTTTCCATAACCGAAGGAGAAGGGGAAGAACAAACAGAGTCCAATAAGGCCGTGCCGCGAACGCGCTGCAAAGCCAAGATTGACCTCCAACAACCAACACAACCCATCGCATGGATAGCGGACATGTACTTCTACAGTACTGCTAGGATCAGCGACAGGATGCTGTGCCTTGCACTGCTTTTAGCACTATAAACGCCACACTTAAATCATTTTCGCCCTATGGAGAACTGAAGATGGCATGTCTCCAGCTCAAAGACCTTCTGACCCAGGGGGCATAGACACCCATGCAACCCCAAAAAGTCAATATGTTCCAAAATAAGGGAAAGCTGTCATGTTTTCGAACCATTTTCCCCAACACTCTGGGCACTTACACAGCGGCTTGCCTCACCGGGAGGCACCAGACTCTATCAGGGAGCTTGTTGAGTTGCAGGCAACACACGTGCCTCGAACACAATCATGTTTGACAAGAAATGCATGTATCACCAAAAAAGCCACAAAGTCTTGAATCATTTCTTTAATTCCAGATTCATCAAGACGCATATCAGATCCACCGTTGGGACCCCGCTGGCCGGATCTCCCTCCGCCTCTCCCCCGGACTCTTCGATGCTGGGCAGAGAAACAGGCTCAGGGAGTGCCTTGCAGATGGGATCAATCGCCGAGTTGACATTGGCTGTGGACGCTGAGTCTCCTCTCTGATGCTGGTCAATCAGCTGTGTTATGTTCCGCTGACCTAAACCAGCCGAGGTGACTGTTTGTTACAGGTCGCGTGGCATGTGTCAATGGGCTTACCCTTAACCTACGGAGTGCAGTAGTTATTTGGTAAAGAACCAATAACCTATGTTTTCATGTTTCTGTCTTCACTCTCCCAGGCTTGATTTCATTCATGCACTGCCACTCTGGGTTTCTCTTGGCGTCTTAACTCGTGTGCATAAAGACGCCACCATTTGGGAGCCAAGCATTTACTAGGTTGCTGCTAGGTTACCCCATATTCAAGCTCGTTCGTAGCCAAGGCCTGGCGATGGTCAGGTGTACTGGTGAGGGGGTGGGCGTGACTGTTTGAGGATTATACCTTGTTGAATACGGATACAGTGACTATCTTTTCAGACTGCATTACGAGACTTTCAGAATCCTGACAAATTCAGGATCAGTTTAGGACTGCGAACGCACTCGCAGGCCCCACGAGCTGTCAAGATAGTCCAGTGTAACCCAATCCTTCAATCCTTTAAACTATCTGCCCAGCTGAGATGTTTGTGTGTGGATGGACGAGTGACATGTCCGTCACCCAACGGAACACAGCTCCAGAGGCCGGAAGTTTCCTCTTAGGCAAGAATCCATGTCAAGGAAGCGTCCACAATACTCAGGAAGATGAAGAACAAACAATGCCGAGCCTCGGGACCAGCAGCGGAAGCACGGCTTTCTTGGTTGAAACCCGAGGGCCCGCGACAGAAAAAGTCAAACTATATGAGTGTCACCTGAAGCAATTGAACTCCCACCTCCGAGGAAGCTCTAATATGAATCAAACATGATACTCGTGCTCTATATAATGAGGGGATCTGTAGAGTTGGGAGTCTGAAGGGACGTATCAAGGGGCTTGTTGCTTGCTCCTTGGCCTAGACCATTCCATCTGCCAATTTCTGAATGAGATAATGTATGTAATTTGGCCATGGTATCTAGTTAGATTCCGCTTTGACAAGTCAAGCCTCGTTGAGCTAAGTTAGATGACGGCTGTTGATAGTGACGTGAATAAAATGACGAGTAATGCTCTGTTTCGGCAGTTAAGAGTTGTTCTGCCGTTTGATCGAAATTCTTTAAAGGCAGATTCTTCCATCGTTCCATTATCGATATCACTTTCTGAAGGTTGCACGTTGCAGAAACCAAATTCCTGTTCCCTGGACCCTGGATTTAGCGTTGCAGATCTGCAACTGGAGTTCTCTGAAGGGGAAAGGGATTCAGGGGTATCAGCGTCAACTTCCAATGAGCATTAGCTTCTCTCATGCAATTATGTATGTATGCAGCCCAGTAAGAGCTGAACGAACTGCCGAATGATCAACTCTTCAATTTGGTACAGACAGCTCTCGAAATGATCGAAATCACTGCATAATTATAGTTAAAAGTCCTCTAGAACTCGTACTGATTAGTACGACTCGCTTATCCTCGCAGTCAATTACAGCAATCCAATCAATATCTCGCCTACTAGAGACGCGTACCTGTCGTGGCGGGGCTCACAGACGCTCATTGGTCGCCGTGGTTTTGGAATGGCAGTTCAGGGGCATAATGACCCCCAAATTACATTGGAGACGGGGGCTTCTTCACTTGAAATGCATACGTAAGCGAGAGCCTCACCTTTTTTGCCTCGTAACTTTATTTGTTTTTCCTCTTCAACGTCGAACTTGTCTCGGATTTCATATTAAAGACCCTCGATCTGATTTGTTCAAAAGTGCAACACCTACAGCAAGCATCAGCTCTGCTCACGATGGTGGTACGCAGAAGTACTGAGCAGTCAAACGCTTGGCTCAAACCTGTCGAGGATGATGAAGATGAGGGCTTTCTCACTGTGGCCGAAGATGCCGAAGCCAAAGGAATTCTCGATGATGGCAACAGATCGACGCTCAACTTGACGACGACCGAGCTTCCTGTGTATATGAACATTCACCGGTAAACTCGCCCTTATCCTTGCTCAATCCCTGCCTGCAGCTCAGAACCGCATGTTCTTGGTGAGCCATTGTAAAGCTCGCCAAGAATCGTAATACGCCTACGTACCATGAGGAGTCAGCGTGCTAACTCTCCTTGAGTGTAGAGTCCGACGGTTAGTTCTTGCGAGTATTGGTAAGTCTCATCTCATCCCAATTCGTATATAAATAATGAAGCCTAATATGAATCAGATGATCCTTATACTATGGAGCACTTCAGAGATCCCAAGATGAACGCTCTGGTTGTGAGGCCTCTAGTCGAAAGACTTTATAACCCAGACGATATCTCAGTCGGTGAGTTTGAAGCGCAGAATCTCACCTGGGAGTCTTCTCTGACTCCTCCCCGCCAGTTTATTGCTTGTTAGCAAACCGTGTATCTTTCCTAAGAGAGCAGTCTAAGGAGGTTCATCAGAGTGTCAACCAGGCGCGTGCAATTCTATGCGAGCTGCTCGCTAGTCGGGTCCTACGCCGCTTCCACGAGGACAACCCAGGACCACAAGGTCTTTTGCTGCTCTCGCACATCCTCGTTGAGGGCTTCGATCCATTCCAAGGAGCCCCTAGTCACATGGAGCGTCCAGCTAACCGACCCCAATGGCCTGGATCTGGTGATGCTTCTGGCTCTGAGAGAAAAGTCACAGCTCTTGAGTTGGCAATTGTCTCTGAAAGCAAGTTCTTCATCAGCTCTGCAGCCTGTCAACGAGCTGTCGATGCAGTTCATAACGGTCAAATCATTTATACGCCCCTTTCATTTATGGATTTCCTTCCAGACCACTATAAACGACGGCCTATCTCTCTTTACGACCCTCGGACAGCACCTCTCCTCAACCACCACCGTCTCATTGTTCCTCGCAACCGAAATCTCATCGAACTCGTTCACTTTGTCATCCTGCTGGTGCTCTACGTGATGACCATGATCTCTCGCCATTCTGAGGTTAATATGTGGGAGTTCGCGTTTTGTATATACACCTTCGGTTGGCTCCTCGAAAAGATGGCTGCTATTATCGAGCATGGCTGGGCAGTTCACGCACAGAACCTATGGGCTTTTCTTGACATCACTTTTGCCTCCATCTTTGGCGCCTATTTTATTCTCCGCATCTACGACTTTCTCCTCGATCAGCTTCATTCTGGCTATGGACTACCGATTCTCTGTATCGCAGCACCTGTCATGTTGACCCGGGTTGCTTTCAACCTACTGCCGAACAACCTTGTCTTTATCTCTGTTCATGCTATGATGAAGGACTTTACTGTACTGACCTTCCTTGCCACCTGGTGCTTTACCGGCTTCCTGCTCGCTTTGCAGTGGCTTGTTAGTGCGAGCAACGATGGCGATGAGGAGTTCAGCTGGTACGTAGTGGGCAAATGGATGCTCTGGATTTGGTTCGGTCTAGATGGTGAGGGTATTGAGGAGTCGGTGCGGTTCCATATCATCCTTGGTCCTGCGTTGATGATTGCCTTTGCATTCCTGGGCAACACGCTCTTTCTGACCATTCTCATTGCCATGCTCACAAACACCTTCTCCAAGATCGTCGCCGATGAAACGGCCGAGATTCAGTTCCGACGCGCTGTTTTGACTTTCGAGGGCGTCAAGAGTGATTCTATCTTTGCCTACCCCCCTCCCTTCAACATCTTGGCTCTGATGGTGCTCCTACCCCTGAAGCTTGTCACCACCGCTCGGATCTTCCACATTGTCAACGTGGCCCTCATTCGAACTCTCAATATGCCAACTCTCCTCCTCATTAGCTTTGTGGAGCGACGCCGTCTTTGGATGCAGTCCAGACGTGCTTCGGGCAAAAGATCCAAGTGGCAGTTCACATCTCTGTCACCTCATAATGATGTCCAGGCAGTCTTCAAATCTATTCCACCAACTGAGATTTCAGACATCATCGATCAACTCGACCCGTTGGGTGAAGTCCCAATTCTCGAGGACGATCTGATGCCTACGATGACAGGTGACAACCCTCAGTCGAAGCTGAGAAGATGGAGAATGTTGCAACGAGAGGGGCATCGCCGAACAGATGATGCAGACGCGTGGAGTAGCTCAAGCAGCATAAAGAACGAGTAGACAATATCGAAGTTACAAGTACAGCATGGCATGGCATCGGCGAAAGGAGTTTATTTTTGGTTGATTATATGAGTGGGAGGAGTTTTCCGACTTTTACAGCAAGACAAGAATGATATAAGAATTATATATAGAAAGAGTAGATGAACTATACCTTGTAATTCGAGATTTACGAGCTCTGTAACCAGTTCTGCTCCTGCTTAGCATTTTGTAAGAAGTGAGATAGTACAGCAACGCAGCTTGATGCAAGTCATGAGATACAGCAATCGTAGTGACAGAGGCATTCCATGAATACGTAAGACTATCTATCCCATACTGTCTTTGTTATGAAAATATAGTAATATCTATATCAGCATTAAAATGTACATGTTATCAAAATCTGTCATTGTTTCACTTTAGGTTAAGCAAATACTACCTATAGACTATAGTATAGTTAAGTAATTATTCTAGGAGTGAAGCTGTACTTGGAGGACCCACTCAAGCTGTTGGCCCCGTGGTCATGGATGTCAAACGGGAACTAAAGTAGAGAAGCCCGAAACTTTCATAGACAAACATCACCACCACCAACGCGACTATAACAAGGAATAGCAATTGGATAACTTTTAATATACCTAAAAGTCATTAATTACACGCACACACGATACGGAACGAAGAGACACACCTGGAATCTACTCATAATGGCACACGGCGACGACCAACCGCTGTCTATACGACCATCTCCCGTCGCCGATCGCAAACCTCAGAACATCGCAGAGTTTATTGCTCGCGCCAACGCGCAACCTGGAGGGTTCAGAGCTATAAGCGAGGCCAAGCTAAGGGAGGAGCTTGCCCAAGAGGAAGCGGAGTATGGGGATGCGCTAGACAGAGACGTTGATATGGCCGAAGGGGACCAAGACGACGACGACGACGAGGATGCGCCGAGAGACCTCCAGGAAGTGCGCATGGAAATGCTAAAGAACCTTGAGTATGGAAGCCCGCTACAACATGATCATAAACTGACATCTCTCAGCGCCGCGGGAAATACAGCTCTTCTTACCCTCGACTTCCTCTCCCTCCTCATCTCGAAACAGAACCCTACACAGGCTGGCGTCACTCTATCGCAAGGCCTACGCGACATGGTCGGCATCGGTACATTGGGCACCGACAGGCTTGATAACCCACCCGTGACTCCAGCCAAAGTACAAGAACAGGAGAACATAGCATTGGGTCTAGCACTCACACAGACCAACAAAGCACGGGATGCTGCCGAGGCTGCTAGTGCGTTCCTGGAGAAAGAAGTTGCAGTTGAGGGCAGGTACTGGGAGGAGATTACAGCAGTTCAAAAGTCCGGGTGGTCGATATCCAGAGTGCCCCAAGAAAGGCACACACTTGGTGTTCGATTCGGTTTCTCAGAAGGTATGCCTCCCTTTGATGGGCTTGCCAGCGCACGACCGTACTAACATGACCAATAGCTGCACCCGAGTACAGGAATAGTCTAGCACCCATGAGGCGAGGCAATGACGGGGCAGTCCAGCTTGATTGCGGCCGGCTGGGAGGAGTGTCTGAGCGAGTTGTCGTGACATATGAAAGAGACGGTCAAGTTACCGGCCGCTCTGCTTTACCAGCTGAGACGGCTGCTGACGCTCCCTTGGAAGAGCGTGTTCTCGAAGCCCGGAATACCATCTTCTCACAAGAGCTATGGCACGAACTGACACGCGAAGCCCGCACCCTTGCAGCATACGATGTCAAGCCATACGACTCCCGCCTCATCTGCGATATTGATCCAGCATCCAAATCAAGGGTCATCTTAGAACTGGTGCCGCTTGGCCCTCTAGCTTCTTCAGACCATGATCTCCCTGATAACCGAATCGCTGAGACGATATCCCTTGCGTTGCATACCCTCCTTGGCTACGCTCATCGACAGAACGAGCTCACGAGAACTCGCCCTATTCCGCCTCACATCCCACGATCGAGAGGCCAGCAAACACATGTTCTTCTCCGTCCTATAATCGCTCGCCTCATGCACCTCCACAACGTCCAAGTCGTTACTAAGCACATTGGCGTCCTCGTTCAGTCTCTTCAGCGCGCTGGCTTCCCGTCCCGTTTCGTCCTCAGCACAACCCCTATTTCTCTCAACGACTCAGATCCCGCGAATCAGGGACCCAACCAGCTTGCATCGTCGCAGATCATGATTCGGAATATGCTGCAGCCCATCGAGTTCAACATCAAACTAACCATTCTTCCCAATGTCAGCTTCACCGTCCGCGGCCGGACATTCCTCATGCCCGTCACAGCCACTTATTACTATGTAATCACTCCCCCGAACTCACCTCTTTCCGCTGCATGTGCACCATATCGGGAGGGATATCCAGACGCAAATGCACTGGCTGATTACCTCGGCACTGCTACCACGCGTCTTCTCGTCGAGCACTACCTTGCTATTCTCCCCTCCCCATGGTCCAAAGGCATACAGGGCAATGCCATTCTCAACGCCAAGAACGAGGATTGCCGAATGGTCTTCACAGTCACGGAAGAGCCGGCCCTCCATTTAAAGAGCACGTCTATCGTTGACGGGCAGCTGGTGTCCCAGGAATGGACGTGGGCAGACGACGATACCAAAACACACGTTCAGGACATCATAGATACCGAGGTTTCTAAATCGAACCTCTAAGACTTGGTCGCCTTCGGCTGAAAGGGTAGGACAGGAAGGTAGATAGTACATGCCAGCTTTTGATGGTGCTCAAAAGGGCTACACCAGCTGTGGTGTAGTATAGTCACACCACGCATACAATACAATCACGCCCATTCTTGCCTCCCAATTGGAAACAGTGTGATATGTACTGAAATCATTTCTCTAACGTTGACACGGTTCATCTACGGATTGTTTGCCCTAGTGCAACATGCACGCCGCCTGCAATTAACACTGAACTGAATACATCTGCGAAGCATTTTCCTTGAGCTCACACCCCAGAATATCCCATGGTGGAATCATTGTCCATGTCCCGTTGCTCACATGATCGCATTAAGGAAATTCCTTAGTCGAGTTAACACCGCGAGATGGTCCTTCAGCTCCCACGATGTAAAGGTCGCAGCCCTGTCTGTAACTGTCATAACTCGTCCAACTCTAAAAAAGCAAGCCGTATCCCTTGATACTGTACAATATGATAATTGATATTGTGACATTTGTTGGTCAACATACATCTATTAGCGGTTGAATCCGAAAAGATTCTTGAGGTCGTTGATACTGAGACGGCCGATCTTGCTGCCTGCAGTCTCGTCCAGCGCAGCCTCCACCATCTCCTTTTTCTTGTTTTGCAATTCTACGATTCGGTCTTCGACAGTCTCCTTGGTCAAAATGCGATACACCTTCACCTCCTGTTGTTGCCCAATTCGATACGCCCGATCGACGGCTTGCATCTCGATGTATGGATTCCAGAAAGGATCCATAATAATCACACGAGACGCGGCGGTGAGGTTCAGGCCTGCATTTCCAGCTCGGAGGGAAACCAGCATAACCTTGGTGTCATTTCGCTCGCGGAAATTCTGAGCCGCAATGTTGCGAAGAGTCGCGGACATTGAGCCGTCGTATCTCTCTGGCTTAGCCATCTTCTCATGTGACATGGCGACCTGTAGCAGATCCAATAACAGGGTCCACTGAGAAAAGATGATGGTCTTCTCACCGGTTTCCTCGATCTTCTTGATAAGATTCATGCATTCTGTGACCTTGGCGGCGGGTTCCCAGGTCTTGCGTAGATACCGCATGTACTTTTTGAACGCCTCGCGGTTCTTGTAAGCCTCCTTGCGCAGGGTCTTAAGCATGGCAGGCTTGACATCCGATGACTTTGCCTTCCCCTTGTTCTTCCATTTCCCCTTCCCTTTGCTCTGTTTCTTGACCAATACCTTTTCATCCTCGTCCGGAAATTCGTCGTTAACGATGAAACCTTTGAGATTGCCCTTTTTGTCCACCTCATCATCTGACTCATACTCTGAGTCTGAGTCTGAGTCATCGTCAGATTCATCGGCAGCTGCTTCCATGCTGGATTCTTTCTTGACGGTTTCCGGCATGTGCACCTCACGAAAGATGTCGTAGGTAAAACACTTGACAGGGTCGAATTGGCCGCGACAGACGGGGCACTTAGCCCGGCTGCTTTCATTTCCCTCCTGCAAATTGACCGACGAAGCGCTTTCTACAATCTTAACCAAGCATTCACTGCAACTATCGTGGCCGCAGGGAATAAAAAAGCTGGGGCATTGAATGGCATCATAGCAGATGGGACATTCGAACGCCCCGACCTCCTTGATCCTATCCACTATAGCTTGATCCAACTCTTTGACCAGCTGCTTTTTATCTTCATCTGGGATAGACGAAGAGGCGGCCTCGTCGACATCCAGATTGAGATGTGGATGGCAACAAGCCTGGCGCAAGCGAAGCAAGAGAACAAGAATGTTGGAGTAGTTCTTGCTGACCGTCCCATCACGAAGATATTTGCTGAACTGGACCCTGGCATGCTTTTCAAGCTGGGAATAGAAATCGCGCTCCTCGGGTGACAATTCGGCATAGATGATTTCTTCCGTCTTCTCGGGGAGCACAAGGATAGGCTTACCGTTGAGTTTTGAGCTTTTCTTACGTCGGAGCATGATGGCTTTGAGAAGTGCTTGTAGCTTATCCATTGCCACGTGTTTGGGGTCTCCATTGCGGCCAAATAGAACACCAAATCCCTGACTGAACATTAGCGACAAACTGGCATTTGAAGGTTAAATTGGCATACCTGTCGGAACTCTTCCCACTTCGAGTACGGTTTAATCCTCAGGAACTTGACAAGAGAGTACAGTTCTATGATTCCATTCATCATGGGTGTTCCTGTCAGACACCATCGGTGGATCGATTTCAGTTGGGTGCAAGCTTTGGCACCCTTTGTGTCCTTGTTCTTAATGCATTGTGCCTCATCAAGAATGACACGGTAAAATTGGGCCTTGACTGGGTGCAGAAGTGATAGTTTGGAACTGATGGTCGTGTCGTTCCAGTTGATGTTTCCTCCCCTTTCCTTATGATCCTCCACGATCTTTTCAAATCGCTTAAGCTCTTGTGACACCGTACCATATGTTGTCAGCACCACGTCGTATCTAAGCAAATCATCAATCGAGGCCTTTTTGCCGTGATGAACATATACTGAGAGCCGGTGTGTTGGTTTGGTCTTGGTAGCAATTTCTTCTTCCCATTGACGTAGGAGCGCCACAGGGGCAACGATGAGGTTTGTCTAACATCTTAGTAAACTAACTTGTTTGTCAATCGGAGATACGCACCTTTGGCCTTGTGGGTGCCCGTCGGTCCAGGAGGAGTGAAAGTGTTGAAATTGTCTTTCCGAGCCCCATGTCATCAGCAAGAATACCACCTTTGTTTGTCCCTGATTCCATTTTCTTCATCCAGGCTAGAGCAATGTCCTGATGGGGATACAGGGGTCTCTTCAACCCTTCCGGTGCCTCGCCTAGAACTGCCTTGGGAAGATCCATATCAGCAGAGATATTTTTCAGGAGAGCATCAAGTTCTCCTTGGTCGAGCTGAGGCGTATGGAAACTGTCCGCTTCTCTCGCGAAACTCATCAGATGGGGGTTTATTGGCGTGCCATCGGCATCTAGCCCGCTTACGAAGTCAAGTCCGTTACTCCATCGAGTCAAATTGGCGAGTCCTGATAAATTTGATGAAGAACTGGGTGAGCTGTAATTGTTAGGCCAGACGCCAGCAGGAGGCGCCCCAGCATGACGCCTAGTCAGGTCTGGGTAGTTCATGCCGGAAGCCAGGATCGGACGACCAGAAGGAGTTGGTGGTTGGCGAGTAACAGATCCAGCGAAGATAAGATCCGGGTCGTCCTTGATGGCGTTGTGGTTTGAGAATGTTGCCACAGGTATGTACTGAGGGACCATGCGCCTTTGGGGTATGTTGAAAGCTGGCCCGGCACCTGAAGAATCATCCCATCGCGCATCATAAGCGCCAGGGATCCGAAAGAGGTCGTCATCTGCGTCATCAAGCGGGGTAGAAAGGGCAGGCTGGCTGTTCATGAGTCGTGTAAAGGCGTTATTTTGAGAAGATTGTGAGCCTGAAGGTTGACTGGAAGCGCCTTGACTCGCAAGTTGTCTCGCGAGCTGTTGGTCTCCCCATTCCTGCTTTTGTCTCCCTTCAGCCTTGAGTTGTTCAGCGATGAAGTCGGATCCTATGTCATCATCGTCCCTGGTGTTCTTCTGTCAGCAGTGAAGGAGACAATAATACTACCAAGCAGCTTTACCCAGTAAGGTCTATGAAGTCGATATGGTCACCAGCATTGCCGTAGGCCATGGCAGTCGAGAAGGTATTATCTTCAGGGGAAATGCGGCGTGTCTTGGCATGATTGTCATGGAAGGAGAGGCGAGCTGAGTCGGCACCCCTCTTTCGATCAGGTAAACGCCAAACACCGTGTCGTGATGGAGATTGCATGGCTTTTGATGCTCCAGGCTCAGCATCCTCTGGAGAAAGGTCAGCTTAATGCTCTTGGCTGTAGGCCTATTGAGTGATAAAATCAGGGATTGGAAAGCAACACATGAAGTAAAAAGATCCAGTCAGAAGAGCTTGGGTGCTAAAGATATGACATGGGCAATAAAGAAGAAATCTTATATGAAATGTGCATTGAGTTTGTTTCAAGAGCTTCGTACCTAGAGTTGATGATCCAGGGAAACGATCTTCGGGGGCGTGGTGATGAGATTCACCAGCTGCAAGTGATGTTAGACAATGAGAAAACAATGAGAAAACAATGCCGTTAGGGAGGACGTACTAGTAGTACCAGGCTCCTTCTTCTGTTTCAAGGTTTGAAGAAGCTTCTTGAGGTGAACAATCTGCGAGTGAGCATCTTGTCTCATATCCTCAGCCCCATCATACGTTGCGTCAGAAAGGGACTCTAAGATAACCTTTTGCACTGTCAGCTCCTCCTGGATCTGCTCAAGACTCATCGAGGTTGTGTCAGCCATCTTGCTGCAGCCTTGAGAAAGGCGAATGAGACAGCGCACAGGCGCAACGACAGCATTCAAGACCCTCTCGGTCAGCGACAGCGACAGGCCACCGGAGGCAAGGGGCCGCCGCCCATGAAGGTTCCAAGGGTACGCAGCAAGACCTCGGGATGCTTGAGGCGGCAGGGTAGTGATGGCTGGCCTATCACAATCCCTATCACGATCTCGCAGTACCAGTTATCGCAAGATGGATGATGTTAGAGGCCTTCATTCGTCGCACGTGCACAAATGGAGGGTGCAAGCGGCTGAAGTTGATTGTCAGTTGATATTGTAAGGTTCACATTCAATTTTGAGGTGGAGCTCCTTCAGGGACGACTATACCGGGAGTATGGGAAGGAGCCTAGGGAGCTCGCCGCGTCACGCGTTAAGCGATTCACTGCAGTTGAAAGTGGAGGACGGCCTGAGGAGCTAATGCAGGCAGCACCTCAACAGCCATTGTATGCACCTATTGTTAGTGGGGGAGGGGCAATCATTCCTGGATGACAGGCAGTGGCCCTCCACCTTGAAATGGAATGGATCCCTTGCATAAAATCATTAATCATTATCAGAGCCTGCCTTAGCGCCGCCTAAGCTGAGTTAGGTACCTGCCTACCTAGCCTACTGCAATCATTTTCAGATAGAGATCTCTATACGGCATTATAACTTGAGGAGCCTCACATAAGGCAGTTCTTGAGTAAAGGCATGGACGACTCCAAGGTATTTTAGCCGACTATACCTAAGTAAGTACCTAACCTAAGCAAGGCATGATACCTACCAACTTACCTTGCCTCAACCCAAGGTACTACTACTACCTTGGGTACTATGCAGGAAACTGAGGCGGAGTGCAACAAACGTTCTTCGGCCATGTCTCAAATCCCACCACCTCTTTGATGCAGGCAAAAGTACGTTTTTAAGGGAATAGGCTATGTGAATGAACACCTACATGCAGTGTACACCGCCTCTTGATAAAATGTCCTAATACGTGGCACTCTTGCAAAGAGCACAAAGGTCACACAAACAAAGTGCAACACCAGTGTGAGGTGTGCACAGCATTCCGCCTCGTTTTCAAACAGGCAAGGTTGAAAGGAGAAAAAAAGAAAGGATATCAGATTTGTGCCAACTTTGCTTGGACGAATCCAAAGCCTCGTCCTGCCCGTCGCAATGTCAAACGCCTTGTGCTCCTTCATGGCCCCTTTGAACGCCGAAAAATACAAAGAAATATGCACAGCATTTCCAAACCTGGGTACCATAGGTACAGGATATACATAGATATTCACAGTTCAATCATCATCTCCAGTGATTTTATGCCAGACTTTCTCCACTTTGTGAGTGAACCAATCCCAGATTCCTTGGTCTTTCTCATCATCATCGTCACCACTGTCACTATCGCTGTCGCTGTCGCTGTCACTATCACCATCCTTACCTCCGCTGTCCTTAGAGGGGACAGCCGACTTTGATGGTTTCGTGGGTTTCTTGAGTGAGACTGTCGCCTTGGCGGACTGCGTAGGGGCAACTGGGACCGTAGGTCGTTCAGGCTGGGTGGGCTTTTGGGGCACAGTTGGCCGCTCGGGATGACTTGGCTTCTCCGGCAAAGTTGGGCGAGCCGGCTTCTTGGGGGCGGACGGAGGATCGGCAGGTTCCTCGAGTGTATCTTCGGGCTTGTGCACGCCGATGGGCTTCAGGGGAAGCCGTAAAGTTCCGTTGTTGGGGCTGGGCGTCAAACCAACGGAGTCGCACAACATGTTGTACACCTCAATGTTTTCTGGTCATCCAAATCAGTAAGTGAGATGAAAAAGCACACTATCAGAAATCAACTTACGGAAAACTTCGATCTGGCTGTTCGCTGGGTGGGGGAATGCAGGGCCACGGGCAATGAAAATGGCCCTCATAAGTGGATGCTCATGGTCATAACCATGCAGGCCCCGCGGATGATATACGAGATTCTTCTTCTTTCCTTCTTCAACATTGAACTCATCTTTGGTGACAATGGCCCATCCTGTCTCGGGAACAACCCACAAAGGGGCGATGCGGTGATGCTTGGAGAAGTGATATCGCTCGGGCATGTCGACATCACGAAGATAGACTTCAAAGTTGGGGTTTGACTTTGACTTCTCCTTGAGCTCATCGTAGAGCCCTTTCAGATCGTCGGGATTCTTGGGACGAAGACCGTAGAGCGGCCAGCCATCGATATGTTCAATCTTGTCAGTATCGATGAGGTCTTCGAGCTGGATTAGTCTTGAGATATCCGTGGTTGCCATCCCGTGATCGGAGACGACAATCACATTGACAATGTCGGTCAAGTTGCGTTGCTCAAGACCATGGAAGACCTGCCCCATCATGCTGTCCACGTTACTGATGGTTTGGCGGATCTCGGTGGAGTTGGGACCGAATTTATGACCATCACTATCGACATGAGGAACGTAAGCGGCAATCAATTGGGGTCGCATGTTGCCAGTGTCCACGGTCTTGTCCTCAAAACCGGGCATATCAAGAAACTCCATGATTCTGGCGACCTTGTTCTCAAGTGTTTCTTTGCCATTGAACTTATCCATCAAGCTTGGTTCAGTGTGGAGGACATGTGCCTCGCTTCCTGGCCACATATGGACAGCACTCCGAACCCCTTGTTTCTCTGCTGTAACCCAGAAAGGCTCTCCTCCCCACCATTTTGGGTCGAGGCTCTGGCCAGGATGGGTGTAGTAGAATTGCGATTGCATGTCAGGATCCCAGAAGGTGTTGCTGACGATGCCATGGCTTTCGGGATATAAGCCTGTCGCAAGAGTGTAATGGTTCGGGAACGTGACTGATGGAAAAGAAGGATGCATCCATTTCGGCGACACTCCCTCAGCAACGAACGAGTTCAAGGTAGGCGTCAATCCACGTTGGAGGAAGTCGGCGCGGAAACCATCCAGGCTGATGATGAGGGACGTGGGCGCAAAGAGGGCGGTCCCATTGCTGACCAGGGGTTGGTTCGCCTTGGTGAATCTGTTCCTGCGATTCTTGGATAGCTTCCAGGCTAATAGAATCAAGATCGCGAAGCCTATGGCGATCAGGGAGTGAATGAAGACCCACCGGCGCCAGCTGCGACGTCGCTGGGCCTTTGCTTCGGCAATCATATTTAGATGATGTCGATCCAATTCGTCACTATCATCCCTCTCGCTGCTCTCGCCAGTTGAGCTTCCCTCCTTCATACCTCCCTCTTCCATCTCATACATCAACTCTCCGTCCTCTCCATGTTGAGCATGCTCCACAAGTTTCTCTCGCTTCTTCTGTCTCCGTTGGCGTCGAGTTTTTCGCTTCTCAATCACAAGATTTTCGGCGGAGCTGTTGATCGAACGATTCCCTGAACTGCTTCCTCGACGACCAAAGATTTTGCCTATATTAGGTACTGCGAGTCCTGAGCCACGGCGCTCCCGTTCTTTCTTTTGTCGCGAATCGGTAACAAGTCGGTCGATATCTTCCTCCTCCATCAACACGATACGATCATGAGCACGCAATTCTCTACTGTTTCTCGCGCGCGAGATAAGTTCGTCATCGTCGGTATCGGTATCTTGATCGCTACGGGAGTGAAGAGACGAAGCATCGTCGTCGTATGCGACAGGAGAGAGGAACGAAGCATTGTCGCGATCCTCCCTAGAAGAATTCGTATTTAAGTTGTGGAAGGACATGATGACTTGACGTCGAAATGTCTCTCAGGAACATGAAATGTCCTCGCATCTGCTACGTCGCCGCCGTCGCATTTATTAGGGAATTTCTATTTAAGGGGATGTAAGACATGGTTAGACCCTTGGGTGGGATAAGCCATGTTGAATGCCGCGAATGAGACCGGGGGTAACTTCCACCGGCTCCGTTTTTGACCCACAATCGATGTCAATGGTGCGATCATGTTGTTGGTTCTACGGATACAGCCTATGAACTTTGAATCAGATATAAATGGCTGACTGTTCGGCCCTTGCAGAGCTCTAACCAAGCCTCAATCATTGATTACCCATGGAACATGTTAGCAACAGGAGAGATACTTCTTATTCATCTTCATTTACACTGGGCGAAAGGGATGCTCAGCCACACATATCAATAGCATCACAGACTACCTAGACAAACAGTCACAGACACCTTGTTGGCAAGTTTCGTCCCTGAATTCATGCGGCCCCATCTAGCTACCTTCATCTTAGTCCAAACACTAAAAATGATAGTCCCCCCTACCTATGGTGGATGAACCTCAAGATAGGTGGGCAAAATAAAAGGCTTGCGGTTTGTGTGGATCGAACACACGACCTTCAGATATCGAATCCCGAAGTTTGACTTCAGTCTGACGCTCTCCCAACTGAGCTAAACCCGCTGTTGCTTATTACTGTCACTCATATTACACCTGATGTTGACTGCCGATGGTAAATCAAAGAGGGTGAGGAACATTTGATATTGCCACGATCAAGGGATGTAAAAGTAGACTGTGGGATTGAAGTCGTAATCAAAAGGCCACCCATTAACACTTGCATTGTCCTGTATTTATTATCATCCAACTCATGGGCTTTGCTGAACCTTGATTGACTTTCTATAATTTCCCACCTTTGCTTGCAAACCAACCCTCAGCCTCATCTCGTCCCAATAAACTTGAAATCATAATCCTCCCAAAGACATCTATATCATCTGCCTTGGCTTCAGCGAGGACACCATTAAAGATGGCATCCGTCACCACATAGTGCTCCTTATCTCGCCACGCTTTAGCAAATTCCAATGGGGTCATAGCACTCCATAAATAGGCGGACAATGTCCATGAGTGGCATAGACCAAGCCTTCCATCACACTGGAGCATCTTGCAGCCGGACATGATACGATAGGTCTGTACAAGATAGAATGAGAATAAGAGAGTCCGGCGCAGTGACTCCTGGAGAATCCAATCTTGCCAGAAGGCCCTTGTCGGGGCTATAGGGTATAGCGGAAGCGTGCCAGGTGTGCCCTCGATGCCAAACTGGACATAGGAGAAC